TTGTGATATAACAAATATACATTTACAGCTAACTTTCCACCAAATTTATTTGAAACTATCAAGTCCAACCTTGGTATTGGTACACATACCACAATGAGTAATTACCACATTGAATTGAGACGGCAGTAATGTTGCATAAAAATCACATTAAGTAAAAGAATGTTATTTCGCTTTTTAATCCCATCATATTGCTGACAAACTCATTGAATTCAGCATATCTTTCATCATCAGTTTCCAATACTTACGAGATCTCGAAAATAGAAAACCACTATGAAAAATAACTGCAAGTGGACTAAAGATGCACCAACTTGAACGTGCTAGGAGACACCGAGACGCTAGAAGCATCATCATAAGGAATGGATCCCTATCAAAACCCCGAATAGCACTCAAGGAAGGAAGAACAAGAAGTCAGCAATTAACAACAGCCGAACTAGAACAGAGAAAGTCAATGCAAAGACCGAATACACAGAAGCAAACAAGCAAGTGAAGAGGAGTATTGGAGCTAACAAGCAGAAATACGCGTCAGACTTAGCAACGACAACGGATAAAGCTACAAGAGAAGAAATTATGAAGTAACTACATGGCACAATGAAGAAACCAGGCAGACCAGTCTAGGATATCAGAGAAAGGTTATCTAAGTAAATGTGCGTACTAAGGAGGAATCACACGACCATCTGTAACAGTAAAGGTTTTCAACAGGGTGTTGATGAACTGAATGAACGGCTCAGTAAATGCCCAAATTCGAGATCAACAGGCTAGATTCTGTGAGGAACGGTCGTGCACAGACCGAATCGAAGCACTACGGATCATCACTGAACAATCAATTCAAGGAAATTCGTCCCTGTTGTAGTGATCGGTACTATTTCAAGCTTTTGTAGGCTATTCTAGCCTATAGACAGACCAATTTATTTCTTGTTTTCAAGACACATTCTAACCCTGCTGATTATTCGATTATCAAACCTGACTGTTCCTATATGATCGTATCTGTGTGGTTGTGTACCTCGTCCATCATGTTTCTGTAATTTACTTTTTAGTCTGACAATAAATGTTTAGTAACGCCTGATCAAATTGAGCTGACTCAGTCTCCTTCTCCACTCCGCTTCATTTGGTTTCGCTTCGCCCTCTCCTGTTTGCCTCCTTCTCTGTGTTTCCCTGATTGTCCGTCCGGATCAACGACAATATGGAGTACCTTCACCATGTATATATGGTTCATACATATTGATATTTCATTAACCTTTGCACTTAATTAAGACTTTCATACCATCACTCCAAACTACGACTGCGCAAACACTTATTCCAACGTCATATCTTACTGTAATAAAAAGTTGTTTTTCTCATTTAGCTTGTATTTTATTATCGTTACTAACTTGGCTATACATACATAGTCGTTTATTCTTGTTTTGGGTTCATAAACACCCTTATTAAACTATTTGCGTACTTCGTGTCACCTTTATTTCTATTCCCTTATTTTCTTCTTTTCCTTCTCTGGACCCAATTCAATATTCTTCTCAATTACACAGAACCTGATTTATTAATGTTATTCTATTATCATTATTATCTTTTTTCCTCTTATTCAAATGTCGCAAATATAATGCTGATATTATTGAAACGTGTGCATTATTGAATTTTTTTAAAAATCCAAGTGGTTTCTTCGTAACACTTATGTACCCAAAAGATGGTTGTGAATAATGATCATAGTAATACATATCCAAAACGCATTCCCGTGTTTCAGTTATCTTGATCCATTGTTCACTAAAGTGGATTGAGTCGGAAATTAGACGCAAAAGTTGGCAACACATAAATGTCGATAACGGTAAACATACAAGTTAACTCAAGTCAAACGTAGGGCCACTAAACAATGCATCAGCTTCCGTGACTGTCAGAAAGCGTTTGACAGAGTGGACAAAACCTTATGGAACTTTCTTCAACAGTGTTGTGAGTGGCTGAGAAGATCGCCAACATCATCACCGATTCACACGACGGACTGAACTGCAAAGTCGTGCATTGAGAGCAGTTTATAGATGCATTCCAAATGAGTACCGGAGTCAGACAGAAGGGCTCACTTTCACTATTTCTCTCTTCTAGTAGTTGACTGAATTACGGAATACAATGGACAGATTAGATGCAACTAGATGATTTGGACTCTGCAGATGACATAGGTCTTGTATTTTATGTACACCAGCAAATGAAGGTCAAAACAACCAGTGTAGCAGAAGACCTTGCATCAGTAGGCCTCAACATACATAAGGGAAAAACCACGATCATCAGAAACGACACGGAGAAGACCAACCACACTACACTTCATGGGGAACCTCTGGAAGAGGTGGAAACCTCCGTTTGCCTGGGTAGAAGCATCATCGATAAACATGAAGGATTGGACGAAGAAATAAAGGCAAGGATTGACAAATCAAAGACAACATTCTTACAGTTGAAGAACATGTGGAACTCAAAACAACTGTCTGCAAGCCTATGCTCCTCCACGAGCGGTAACAGGCGTATGTTTCGAGAAGTAATCTATGACTTAACGTAGACACGAGCTGCCAAGAATGTATAACAACGATCCTACGATTAATTTCGATTGTGGGTAACTTTTGTGAAAACCTTTTAATAACTTGTTTAATAGGCAATATTATTTGGACAGTAACGATTTGTCTGTTTCTTTGTACGGTTATGATCACAACATGACTGTATAGACGTGTGCTCTTGATTACATATAACAACTTACGCACATATCTCTCTAGTTAAAATGTCAATCGATCAAATGTCGCTCGATGAGTCATTCTATATCCGATGTACATATAAACTCCGATCCTATTATTAGCCTTTACCTCGCCTAGCTGCGTTTCATTCGATTTGACCATAAATTTGTCTCTGCATTTTCTCGCACACACATATTCGCTTCAAATTCCCTCGATGTGCTTATAGCTTTGTTATCCGTGCTATTCGCAAATGAACTGTAGTCGCCGCTTCTCATTGCCATCTGATTTTAAACACCATTGGGATTTATATAACAACGGTTATCAGGGTAATTGATTAACAAACCTAAACCACTACATTTGTCACTCATGAAAAATGCGCTAACCGTATGTGCATCACTTTGGACTGGACATTAAACTTCCGTAGAATTGTTCGCATTCACATTTAATCACACCTTTCGCACAATGAGTTTTTACAGTTATCATTCTGGGGATTTCAGGTCATACTAGCTGATGCACTTAAAATCCCATTAACTGATAATTAGGTGAGAAGGCATAAAGAATATGTTTCTACTCACAGAATGCATTTTGAAGGACAAAATGAACGAGAAAAGAGCACAATATAAGCTTCTTTCATCACCTACTTAAGCTTAGTCCCAAAACAAATCTAAGGGGTAACACCCAGAGATCAGGGATATAACATAGCAGAATGAATTGTAGACACAACTACTACTTAAGAGTTGCTGAATGCTAAAATTTGCTGACGACTGAACTAGTCCAAGCGACTTCCCAGGAGTCCTTAAAGAGGAAACCTGACCTATTCTTAAGGACTGGGGATAACACCTTATTATGAGTTACCAATATCTTTTTTTTTCTAATCTCTTATGATTAATATACCTAGGTTCCTGCCTAGAGGTATTGGTGATCCCCTGCTACTAGACACGGAAGCCTGTTAAGCGAAAGCTTCTTCTATTCCATCCACAACCATCTGCGACATGTTGCAAACTACAGTCACAACTTAGGAAACTCCTCTCTAGTAGTATCCCAAGTCCAAAAAGATTTAGGAGTCCTTGTGCCCCATGATTTAAAGTCTTACGCTAACTGTGACAAAAATGCCTTCCGAGCAAGCCTTGCACTGGTAACGTTGAAGCGCATTTTCGGACGGGTTGACGGACGAACTTTCCACACAATCTTCAATAGTTTCATCCGTCCCCATTTAGAGTACGGAAACATAGTACTCCCTCCCTCACTCCAAAAGGACAAGGTCACTTTGGAGCGTATCCAACGTCGAGCCACGAAATCAGTTCGAGGATTCAAATCTAAACCTTACGAAAAACGCCTCCATTCACTAGACCTTTACCCATTAGAGTATAGGCGTCTTAGAGGTGATTTGTTAATGGCTTATAGTATTCTTAACAATTCTGGACATCCTCTTAAACACCTACTTAAGCTTAGTTCGAATAATAACCTAAGGTGTAACACCCAGAAACTGGAAACACAACATAGCAAAACAGAATGTAGACACAACTTCTACTTCTTAAGAGTTGTCAAAATCTGGAATTCGCTGCCAGCCGAGCTAGTCCAAGCGACTTCTCAGGAGTCCTTCAAGAGGCAACTTGACCTATTCTTAAGGACCAAGAACAGCATCACACTATGATTTACCAATATCTTTTCCTCTTTTATTGTTAACATACCTAGGTTCCTGCCTGGAGGATTTGGTGATCCCCTGCTACTAGACACGGAACCCTGTTAAGCGAAAGCTTCTTCTATTCCGTCCACAACCATTTGAATCATTTGAACCATTTGCTTTTCCATTTCCGCTTTTCCATCCCTCGAAATCCCTCTAAGATGGCAAGAATCATGGTAGTTTTAATTTGAAAATGCCTGGAATTTCGTTTCACCTGTGGGATGCTGAAAAAACGAGATCAGTTGTTTTACCCTACAATATATTGGGAATCCTTATTATTGGAAAATGTACATAGTATGATGATGTGCGTTACTTATGACTGTAATTATCAATTTACGACAACTAGGGGATACTTGACCTCTAAAGGTCGTGACGCTAAAGAACGTATAGTTTTTAAATTCCACAATATATTCTGCGCAATTATAAGTTTATAACTGTTGTGCTTTAACATTACCGTAACATCTATCTACCTCACTATAAAGTTTACAAAATAGGCACCTTCAGAAATCTTCAACAAAATATTTTCTCAGAATCTGGTAGGTTTTCAGTCTGAACAAAAGACCGTTTTGACACCGGTAGACAAAGGCAGCAGTGTATGCATCACCTTTAATTAAATAATGGGTCATTCGGATGATGCCTCGCTAAATTTACCTAACGTGTACAATAAATTCAAAGCATGCGCAAACGGTGATAACGTTCTGCTCCCTGAGTATTGTGAAGCATATACGGAGGTTTCTAAGTAAGCTAGATTTTGTTACATGTTTGCAGACTTCTCGTATACTTTGGAAATCTTTTTTATTTCGTGACCAGTGATGTCAATCACAAAATTTCGGAACTCCGCGACCTGTATGCGGCAGATAAAATTAATTATAAATCTGTCGAGCAGATGGCTGTTTATGAGGAAAAGCAGAATGAACACCTTCCAGTTAAAAAACGGAAATGCGTCGGTTCCCGGACACTTCTCCGACTCCATCGGGCTCTTCTCTTTGTGATCGATTTAATGCAAGAAGTTTGCAGAGGCAAGTTACGGAGTTTTAAATTTATTGGTTCATATTATCGGGATGAGGGAGTTCCTCGTCAGTTCACCTTGGCTAGCTGTAAATAATGTGGGACCTGCCACAAACTTGCGTTAGTTCAGTTCCCATCATCATGTATCACATCGACTAAGTCCAGACCTCACATACGACTTCAGCAAGGAGTCACCAACCCCTAAGATCTATGTTCCTTTTTCCCCGACTATCCTTAGTTTCCTCAAGTCCAATTCTTATTTGTGCATATTTGAGCTGACGATACACTGGTATATGCAGAGTGACCTATCCACCGTAATCGAATTTACAAAGCTGCTGAGATAACCAGGTCTAATGACCTACTATTCATACAAAAGTATTTGCAAGCTTATGGTCATTGTATTACTTAGAGTTATGTCTTTAAGTGCGGAAAACAAACACAACTCGGTCCAAAAATATGTTACTTCACAAAGTAAAGTACATTTAGTCGGTAACTACGATTGTTTAATTTACTCCGACTCTAAAAGTGCCTTGAGTCTGCAACCAGGGTGTTATAGGTTCTATTTGATATATATCATTTTTCCACCTTATAATCTGGCTTAGCACTGCTCTATGGTAGTCAGCATTAAGACCATAAAGTATATTTTAGCGGAGGTTAACCGTGTTTCTGGCCGAACTATTCGTATTACTTTGTTTTTGTATTTAAGCACTTTATTGACACTACGTATAGATTCCATAAGTATTATTAACAACAAGTTGTCTGACACAACTATAACCTATGTAGTGTTCAACACCTGTTCAAACCTGCAGGATTATTACCTCTAATATTTAAAATTTCATCAAAATCCATCTATAGTTATTCACTCATTTGGTTTCTTTCAAGATCTTTTTATCTGATCATTGCCTCAGATTCCACTTTTACAATTCTTCCATGATTTATTATCATGTTTTGTTCAACAAAGTATTAACTCGTTAGTTTTGATTGTGTTAAGTACGAAACATATTAATGCGCTCCAACTTAGAGCAAACACAGATGCTCTTAATGTAACATGCTAAAGGGTAGCATTAATAGTAATTCAGTAAACTATAGTTACATAAAACACTTTTGGTAGCTTTTTATCAATAAAATATGTTGCATACTCAAAAGTCAAAAACATGTACATAATTTCTCCTAAAAGCAGTAATTAACATTAAGTCGATTTTCACCTTTTAGTACAATTCAAAGTGTATTTGTTAAATTTTATAGCGCCACCGGATGAACAATTGAAGGTTATTGCTCGGTCAGTGTACGACAAAACCCTCTCTCAATATCATCCATGGCCTATTAGGAAAGCTGTTGGAGTTGCTGTTTATGCTCTTCCTACGCGGGAACATTTGGTTCATCATATCGTCCAATCTCAACCCCCTGGGAGTGGTTTGCTTACAAATGAACAATGTGCAGAGTTTCTCACTTCACATGCTTTACCTGTAATGCGCAAGGTATATGACTGTATTCAAGCTATTTTCGAGAAACACGATATGCTAAACTTACCATAGTTATCTTGATGTATACTATTTCAGAACTTAATATTGTTGTACTTCAAAAACAATACTCAAAAAGATAAGTCTTAAAGAAATGAAAATTATTTTCGTATGTAGAAGCTATTTTGCTTTCGTTTTATGTTTTATTTCTATATTCTTAATTTACGATACTATGTGGTTTCCAATGACAGCATATTAGTCTTTATAAATTGGTTAATTATAACACTTCCTCACACATTTAGAAATCTCTATCATTTCTGAGATTTTTAAACATTGATTCATATACCTTGCTTACATTTTCAGTAGATTCTGGTTTGTTTTGTACTCAGTTCTCTTCAAAACATCTAAAAATACTTAGAAACAAATGATGTTTTTCACTTAACTGTATTTATTGTATCATAAGTACAACTGTAGCAAAGCAGACAAGTGTGTTTGTTGTATTTTTTATTATAATCAGAATGGGGTTTGTGAAGGTTGTAATTTTAGTAGTTGGATTCAGTGGTGGTCTACCTTACACTGACTCATTAGTTCAACCATTTTTTATTACATTAAGGTATGAAAAATCTCTCGGAAAAATGTACTAGGATAAAAGTCGTTCGCAATAAGCCTTTACCATGTTCACTATGCCACATTTCTCTGGTAATATAGACTTGACAATACAATGGTATAAAAACAATGTGCAAAATCCCTAATTAAATTAAGAATTGTAAAATACTTAAGGAAATCCCAATGTCCCGATTTGATATTTTATGACACCATGTTGGAAGTGGAAATTCACCACTAAGAAAATACTCAAATGCTAGTCAGTGGGTAAAACACTTAATAGTGATTTTTAAGTCACTCGTTTAATCCAAACTACATGTAAATGAAGTTACGTAGTTAGTTGCTGAGGCAGGAGTTTTGGGACATAAACGTAAGGAGTAATCTTGTTGAGTCTCGTTTGCAATTACGTTGGTGTTTTTGAGTCGCTTAACGAATTACAGTCTATAGAACTATGCATATTTAGAAACTTGTTAAGGTATTCTATGCTTAACGAAGTCATTTATGTATTCTATTTTGTAAGTACTCTACTTATTGATTGATAGTATTTCACCTGATGGTATAAAAGACTTTAACTGCAAAGACCGAAATGCATGTGTTAATCGTATTTTGTATCAGTGTTAATAAAGATTTTTGAAGTAAACATTGTCTGTGACTAGTCTATAGTCTGCCCTTAGTTTTTGTAGAATAATGTTTATGAAGTATTGGAAAAAGATTGTATGAGTAACCTAGAACCTGACGTAGTAGTTCTTCAGTTTGAGTGTTATTCTTTCCATCAGTGATTTTACTACCTTTATAACTTCAAGTTTCTGTTAATTTATTACTGGTATATATGGAATTATTAGTTCCTTTATGACCACTTACTCAATTATGTATGGATATAATGTAATGAAATAAAAAGTTACCATAATCATAATATTCCTTATGATTATTTGTTTCCATTTAATCTATTATTAATTGTCACATGTCTGGTATGTAACTTGTAATCAAAGAGAGATTGACTAGTATCGTTGTATGGTAATTATCAGCTTGTTACATTGTTTATGAAAACGAATTTTATACATATTATATGCTTGTATTGTTTGTGATAGACAACAGTAGCCATTTTAAAAATTAATCAGTATGCTATTAGATTAAATAGTAAGAAACTTAAAATAATTGGGTGTTTAACAAAGGTGTTATACTTTTAAAAATCTAACTGACGAGAGCAATTTAATATATGGTCGAAATCGAAGAATATAAAAGGAGGACAGTTAATAACGGAAAGTCTTTAAATTCTTACAAAATAAGATTAATAAGAGATCCGTCTACTTCATGTACATCATCCTAGAAAACCACTTATTCATCCTGTCTTGACATCAGTAGCCGGCAAGTTTGCATTCATTCACGTGCTTTTTTTAATAATTTGTTAAGATGAGAGGGACTTCATATACCTCACTGGGCCTAAACGATTTTAACACCGTCTTTAAATACATACGTACATATATGCATTTTCTCTTATAACAGCAAATTACTAGGTATGAGTACTTATGATAGTTTAAAACATGTACATGGCTGATTAAGACAGTCATCTTTCAACCAAAGGGTCGCAGGTTTGAATTCCACTCCAAGTACTTCAATTAGGCCAACCGAGTAGTATAACTTGCCATCACTCTAATAGCCTGACTCAAACCCAACTACATATACCGTCTATAGTAAGTGAATTGTATTAATTTTAAAAAGTTCAAAACAATATCAATTAATTTTCTATGTTTGTTTAGGTAAATACGGTTTCTTCTCAAAATACCGCTTCTGCTGTACATATGTAACCCTGACTTTCCGTTTATGCATCCTCTTAAAATCTTGATATTGTTATCTTTTCCAGAATAGTTACCACTTAAATATTCCGTGCTAGACGGTCGATCCTTTGTTATCACTAATACTTTCAATTCCCAGTTAATACTAGAGAAAGCCTTTTTATTTATTGTTTATCTATTTCTTTATGGGGTCGCACTCGGAGCCCTCGACTCAAAGGTCTGATCTACAAGGCAGTGGAGCGATGCCAGGAGATGCAGTCGCATGGTAGCCGGTGACCAACAATTGGTTCATACGCCATGTAAGTATATTATAAAGCCACGCCTAAGTGTCCAATAATCGAATACTTTTTGACATGTGCCTATATAATCGTCATGAACGCTGTTTTTTTATGTTGGGTAGTTGGAAGCAACTGATAAAGATCTTTGAATGAATTCTTTCTGGTTTTGATTTATTAGTTCTGTTTCACAACAGTTCACAATGAAGTCCGATATATTGATGTTACCATCTTGCTTTACTCCTCCTTAACACTGGTAAGTAAACTTAGAAATATATATATATGGTATTGCTATGGCGTGCATCCCCCATCTCAACAGTTATTAAAATGCTTAGATATTAATTTACACTCAGTTTAACTTCAGTATAAATTCAAGCAACTCCCCCTGTAGCTCTTCTAGAGTTACTGCTAGTCCCAAGCCCGGGTAAAGGAGGAGAGTTGGGTATGGGGTTAGCGACTCCATCTCGTAGAAAACTAACTCGCTTAAAAACGCTAACCAGAAAAAATGACGCAATAGACGCCCAACTTCGAGACCAATAATCTGAATTCCATAAGGATCGGTCGTGCACAGACCAAATTGCGATACTACGGATCATCGTCGAACAATAAGTTGGGCGGAGCTCGTCACTATACATCAACTCCATTGATTATGAAGAGGCGTTTGACAGTGTAGATAGGAGTACATTATGGAGTTCCTGACAAGATTGCCAACACTATCCGGAACTCATATGACGGACTACAGTGCAAACTCATGCATGAAGGACAGCTGACAGATGCATTCCAAGTAAGGACCGGAGTCAGACAAAGCTGTCTATTCTCTCCCTTCCTCTTTCTTCTGGTGGTCGACTGGATTATGAAGACCTCAACATCTGAAGGAAAACACGGAATACAATGGACAGCTCAGAACCAACTAGATGATTTAGACTTCGCAGATGACCTAGCCCTCCTATCCCATACACACGAACAAATGCAGATAAAGACAGCCAGTGTAGTAGCAGTCTCTTCATCAGTAGATCTCAACATACACAAGGGGAAAATCAAGGTCCTTAAATACAACACGGAGAACACCAACCAAATCAAACTTGATGGCGAAACTCTGGAAGATGTAGAATCCTTCACATACCTGGGAAGCATCATCGATGTACAAGGTGGTCCAGATGCAGACGTAAAGGTGAGGACTGACAAAGCAATGGCCTCGTTCCTGCAATTAAAGAACATATGGAACTCAAAACAACTTTCAACTAATATCAAAGTGAGAACCTTCAATACGAACGTTAAGATAGTTCTACTCTACGGAGCTGAAACTTGGAGAACTACCACAACCATCATCAAGAAGGTACAAACATTTATAAATAGTTGTCTATGCAAGATACTCAACATCCATTGGCCCGATACCATCAGCAATAGCCTACTGTGGGAGAGAACAAACCAGCTTCCAGCTGAAGAGGAAATCAGGAGAAGACGATGGAAGAGGATAGGAAATACATTACGGAAATCATCAAACTGCATCACAGGGCAAGCTCTAACTTGGAATCCTGAAGGGAAGCGGAAGAGAGGAAGGCCAAAGAACACATTAGGTTGGGAAACAGAAGCAGATATGAATAACAAGTGAAATGATCTGGAAAGGATTGCTCACGACAGGGTTGGGTGGAGTGCTGGTGAGTGGCCTATGCTCCTTCACGAGGAGTAACAGGCGTAAGTAAGTAATAAATTCAAGCACAACTCTTGAACATTCTGCAAATTGATTATCGAGAAATACCCCTTTAAGAAAGTGTAATATATGCTTGGATGACAATCAGCTGTTCGTTTAATATAGTCATCTGATGGTTATCAGCGAACAAAGACTTAAAGGAAATTAACCAGAATGTTTGCCATACACTAAACAGCTTCATATCATTATCTTCATTCTCAGTTCTGAATCTCTTGTACGATCCCACTATCAATAATGACGAGTCTACTATCATAATAAGTGTTATCTTAATTAAGACTATGTCCTATCAGTTCAAACGGTAAGAAAAATAGGGGATAGGGTTACCCGCAGCGGTTTTAATGATCAGTAACTGAGTTCTATTCAGTACTATTAGCCATTTATTCATTCATTTATTGAATGATTTCTGCACTTTAGAATGTAACTTTTATTAGAAATAACGTTTCTAATCATAACTTTCATCATATTTACATTTTTCATCCGGTATGTTTGGAAACACCACACTAACATTTCCATACCAGACAGTTACGGATAATTCCATACTCTTGAAATGAAATCCCTAATGAAAATCACATACCAATATACAGTATTTATTCACTAAATAAATGGAAGATGTTCGAAAGTACTGGATAACAACTTTGTACTAATCTTTCAATTTATTACTGTAGGTACTAATTTTGATAAATAATTAATAAT